TGCTCCTGAAAGTAATGCATTAAGGGCTGGCTTGACAAGTGTAAAAAAGTCAAAAAGTTACAAAAAAAGTTCAAAAAGTTATCACTATTCACAAAAAAAAATATAAAAAATTTAATATACAAATATTAAATACAAATCAACTTTTTGGCCCATTAATGTACTCAGGCCAGCTTCAGTGAAAGGGGGGAAAAAAAATTGCATGTGTACATTCACTAAGTTGGATGGTAAAGTTGGGCTCGTGGGGGCCCACCATGGGTCCTGTTTTGATAATCTGAACCGTTCAAGATGTAGAACTCGTCTAGTACTATATGCCTGTAAAAAATCATGTCTATCGGATATTGTTAACTATATGATCAAATCAGTTTTGTATAAAAATTAGATGGTGTTATAGTTAACAGTTGACAAAAAAAACTAACACGATCAGATAGCTATCAATATCCAATCAACGTGATTTTTTACAAGCATATAGTACTCGACGAGTTCTATACATTGAACGGTTCCAATTAGAAAAACGGGACCCGTGGTGGGCCCTCACGGGCTAAACAACACCGTCCAATCAAAGCTTGAAAAGGAGGCAATTTTTTCCCATGTATTCACTAAGCCGCTGCACTGCCAAGCCGTACGGCGTACTACACTATCTTCTCTTGCACACTTCTTTATATAATTTTTTAATACACAATTTTTCATAAAAAGTAAAAAAGTTAACCGAAACATTCATATTTTTTTCTTCAATTTTTTGGTCCAAAAAGACAAAAAGTGCACTTATTTAGGACACCCTAAGCAATCTCTAATTTTCTTGCAGCCATAACGAGAGTAAGGATGAGCTTTTCCATTGGTAGATAGCGTGTTTCAGCGTCAGCCATTGCTTTGCTTACATGGTAAACTGATCGCTGCTCCCGAGTTCTTCCCTTAAAAGTACGGCGCTGACCGCCCGATTAGATACCACCAGGTACAGAATGAGCGGATCACCTGCCAAGGGGATTGCCCAGAGTGGTATTGATTGGAGGTAAGTTTTCAAACTGTCCAAAGCAGCCTGGCACTCGGGGGTCCATTTAAAGGCTTTACCTTGCCGAAGTGTATGAAAGAATTGTCGGCAACGATCTGTGGAACGGTTGATAAACCTGTTGAGCGCGGCGGTCATTCCCATTAACTTCTGAACCCCTTTGACTGACCGAGGAGAGCCGAGTTCTAGAATTGCCGTGATTAGCCTTGGGTTGGCCTCTATTCCGCGGTGGTTAACAATGTAGCCAAGAAATTTGCCGGAACTTACGCCGAATGCACACTTTAAGGTGTTCAGTTTCATTTTGTACTTTCGAAGAATGTCAAATGTCTCTGCTAAGTCGGCTAGATGGGCGTGCTTTTCCTTAGATTTGATGACCATGTCGTCAATGTATACTTCCATAGTGTGGCTGAGCTGTTCCTTGAACATGGCAGTAACTAATCTCTGGTAAGTTGTCCCCGCATTCTTCAGCCCCGAAAGGCAGGACCTTGTAGCAATAGGTTCCTCTCGGGGTGAGGAATGTAGTCTTTTCTTGGTCCTTCGGGCGCATGACAATTTGGTGATAGCCTCAGTAGGCGTTCAAGAAGCTCATACGTTGATGATGCGCCGTTGCATCTACGAGTTGGTCTATTCTGGGGAAGGGGAAACAATCCTTGGGACAGGCTTTGTTTAAATCCGTGAAATCCACACAAACACGCCAAGATCCATTCTTCTTCTTTACAACCACCGTATTGGACAACCATGTAGGGTAGGTAACTTCTCGAATTGCCTCGGCATCAAGCAATCGGTCAACTTCCTCAACAAAGGCAGAAGCATGCTCTACAGCTGACCAGCGGCCTTTTTGAATGATTGGTTTACATTTTGGATCAATGTTTAAGCAGTGTTGGGCCACAGACGGATCTGCCCCTGACATCTCGTATGGCGTCCATGCAAACATGTTGAGGTTGCCGAGTAAGAAAGATATAAGCTTGTGCCTGTCAACTTCGTTCATGGAAGTGCTGATCATGAAGAACTTGTCAGGACTCCCATTAATTTTGATCTGATCCAAATCTTCAGTTGCCTTTTCATTGGGGATCTTCCTAATGTCCTCGAGGCTCTCCCGATCTGGTATTTTAATTGAATTCACTTCCATTTCCTTTGGTCTCTTTGCAGCAGCAACAGGGTAGCATGCCTACGTTGATTTATGAGAATCCCGAATTTGTTCAATGCCATACTCGGTTGGAAAACGAAGTAATTGATGGTAGGTGCTTGGAACAACTTGCATTGTATGCAACCAAGTTCTTCCCATGATGAGATTGTATGGTGACGGAAGTTTGACGATCAGAAATTTTGCATTTACTGATCTGGTGCCCGCCTGAACTGGTAATGTGATCTTGCCCAATGGATACTCAGGGTTAGCGTTGAAGCCGAATAATGGGTAATTGGTCGGAAACAAATCCGAGTCCGTGAAGTTGAGTTTGACGAATGTTTTGTAATACATTATTTTCGAAGTGCTTCCCTGATCGATGAGAACACGTTCAATAGTGAATCTGTTGACGCGTAGCTCAATGACGAGGGGATCGACATGTGGGAGAGTTACTCCAGCAAAGTCGGTGTCGTCGAAACTGATCCTCCCAGTTTCATGGGGCCGTTTTGCTGGTGTGATCGGCCTTTAGAGGCTAGGTTGTAACTGAATTGTATGTATCTCGGCTGACGACGACAGGCTGTATATCATGTGAATTACACCAAGTGGAGGTGAATCTGTCCTTAAGGCTACCGTGTTCGATGGATTATTCTTTCGGACGTGTTGCGCTAGCTGGCCATCTTGTACCAGTTTCTCCAGGTAGTCCTTTAGTGTATAACAACTGTCGGTGTCATGACCATGGTCCTTGTGGTATTCACACCGCTTGTCCTTTCTCCTAATATCAGGAGGTCTAATCATTTTGGACGGCCATTTAAAGAACGGAAAGTGTTGAACTTTCGACAAAATCTTGCTGACCGGCTCTGCCAACTCCGTGTACTTTTTGTTCGAGCGTCTTGTGCGCCTGCTATCCACTTGATATTGTTCATTCGATTGATGTGAACATTGATCATTTGATCGGCGCGAGTCACACCTTTTGTCTCGTTTAGCTCGATTTCGCGGTTCGGGGCTCCTTGATGGCACGACGCTTATCGGCTGAACGATTTTAGGCGGAGCCGTCTTAACGGCTTTCTGTTCGGCTTTGACCCGCAGGGCATCGTCTTCCACTTTGCAATATTCTTCGACTTTCTTCATTAATGCCCAGACTGTTTTGGGGGGCCGTTTGCTCAACGAACTGAGGAGGCGACTATCAGGATGTAATCCCATCTTAAAGGCGGTGATGTCCATGGAGTCATTGCAGGAATCGTCTACCAGATTAAAGCATTCCCAATAGCGTGCCGAATATTCACAAAGGGTTTCTTTTGGTTTGATTTGCATTGCCCAGAGAGAATCGGCTTGCTTTGGCTGGATTTCATTAGTGATGAATCTTGCCCTGAAGGACTTTTGGAGTTGATGGAAGCTTTTAATCGATGCCGGCTCCAGTTTATAGTACCATCTAACGGCCAGTGGTCCCAAACTGCTCGGAAACATTTGATACATGAGGACTTCATCGTCAGCATACAGTGTCATCGCCTGTTTATAGTGACGAATATGATCAGTGGGGTTCGATTTTCTGTCATACAGGGTGAACGACGGTACTTTGAACTTCTTGGGTAGCACTGCCCTTGCAATTCGTCACACAAAAGGGTCATGCTTATCTTTTTCGTTCGAATCATCACTTCTTCTCCCTCGCTTGTGCCATACATACGGATTTCCTTCGAATGAGTTGGATACATAGACTCGTCCCTTCTTTCTGGGTTCTGGGAATGGTGAGTTAGAATCACTGTTATTATCGTGTTTTCGAAGTCAACGTCGTTGACCATCTTTCTTTCCCGAAGGTCGACCCTAGTCTTGGCATGCGGCCTGTCGGGATTTTGCCATCTCCAGGGCCAAATCTTGGCGCAGGCGCTCGTTCTCAGCCATCATGTTTTCCAGCCGCTGTTCATTTTGCTTTGCTTGATCCATAATCGTTTGCATGGTCTCATGCACTGATGTCGAGGGTGAGGTCTGGGCTATTGAGTCGAAGTTCACGGCTCGTTTTGCGGTGATACTCTCCAGTTCAAGCATGTTTCTTGCAGTGATGTCATCTCTTAGCGTGATGTCGTTAGCGAACTGGAGGATTATTTATTACGCCGCCATGGATGTGCTTGAGTATTCCTACAGACGGCGTCAATTGTGGAGAAGTGGTTTGGAAATACTCCAAGATCCTCTAAGTAAGACGTTCTTGATCCTCTGATTGCCACCTGAAAAAGGATTAACACTTTGGTTGGGGGTGCCGAAATTAGCACTCCGACGGACAAGCTAGTATATGCTCTCAAGTTTGCTTGTATCTCAAGTTATTTAATCTATTTTCACATACCTTTCTTTGATTGATGTTTCTCTTATTTACACTAGTATCTGGTCCCAGGGGTCAGGCTCACTCTTAATCCAGCGCATGATTGCTTATTCGGCCTTTCTGTCGTATGTCAATTCCTACTCGGCTCTTTGTATGGCCGGTTTAAATATTTGGCTTCAGGACCCCTTTGGACAGAGTCGACTCGTCTTTGTCCTAATTTTCCTTCAAATAAACTTGGCTTTCCTTAGTATGTTATTATTCGGCCCCCACAACAGTGGAAGCTGATTTTCTTCATTTCTATAGTAGTTTTCAAACTTATTTATAGATGTAGAATATCCAATATATGATAAACCAATGACACTACATATTATTTCACAAGGTGAAATATATTACCAAACTGCTCCCCAAGTGTACTACCATGGCAAATGATTCTCTTTGTGGAGGGTGTCCTGTAATTCTAGTGCAAGAAAGATTTTCAGTCACATTAGCATCCATGAATTTGGTTAATCCTAGGGCTGAGCATCACTGAAGAAATTTATTGACAATTTATTTTACTTTAATTTCAGAGTTGGTCCAGATGCTTGGTCTCTTATGTATCCTTCAATACCAGAGAAGCTGCAGGGCCTGTATACTGAAGGCTACAAGCTGGTTCACTTCTTTTATACCTGAAAGCTCTTTGAAAATTTTATTTTGGCCCTAAGAAAAGATGATTCTGACATGTTATTAGATATTGTGATCATTTGGTTAATCGAGTTGTGCAAGTTTGTTTAGCTTGTATCCATCTTTTTCTTCTTCTTATTTCTTTACCATAACCATGATCATTGTTGTCCTTAATAGGTGATCTTCACTAATGAATCTAACATTGATCGCTGGAAGAATAAGAGACAGGTAGCTGTGGACTCAAAAATTGGACGCCTCAACAATTTTATCAAGCATGTGACTGTCCCAATTCAGGTGGTTCAATGTGGTCATTATATTATTCCTTTTGATCTATTAATAATTTAACAAGTTTTGACCATTTTAAGGAAATAATATAACTGAGTATTTCACAGCTATCTTTCTTGGAAATTATACTTCAATCCTTGGTTGATATAGGATCATTTGTGTAAGAGCATCCTACTTTAAAAATGGTATTTGTTACTTCTCCAAACAATTTAATAGCATGCATCTATTTTTATCACATGGAGGCAACATATTTTAGTCAATACAATCGACGTTATTCATAATTTTTCCCTCTTGCAAAACTTGACAAACAATTAGTGGCAAAAATTATCAAATTGTTTAAAACATGAATATTGTTGTAGATTTTTTAGTTTTTTGAAGAATTAGATTCGATTGCTTCTTAAATGTTTTCTTCTTCGGACTCTATAGATATCTCTCATCTCTGTCCCCACCCAATTTGGTGTTGAGTTTCTCCTGGGTTAAAAAACCTTGCGTGGTTGGGCTTGCCTTGCTGCCTCTTGTGGTACGAGTTTTGTTAATTGTGGTGCCTTTATGTTTCTTCTCCAAAAATAGCCCCAATCAGTCAGCCTGTGTTATGTGGCTTGGGTTTTCGTAAGGCTTCAAAATTTCTATTTTCTACATGATTTTCTTCAGAAAGAGCAAGACTGAATAGTGTCTGCGTGGTGACTCTTTATTTTGCCACTGTATGCCTTGGTAGAAAACGCACTTTGAACCAATTTGTGCTTATGATGTGGAAACATTATTTTCTTAATATGGTTGAATACGTCTGTGGTTGTAACTTGTAACTGTTAAGAATATATGTATGTTTATATGTATCTTCTTTTTTGTTTTATTAATGCTTGAGGGTAATATATGTATTTTCTTTTGTGTTGTATTTATGCTCGATAGCAGTTTTGTCATTTTGTCTTTTCTTATGTCCCTTTTTTTTCTTTTTCCCGGCATTTTCTTTGCTAAAATAGGTGGAAATATTATAGAAATTTTGCAAAGTGCTCACTGGAAATCACCCATGTCAGGTTTTCATAGCTTGTGGAATAGGTAAATCTGATGGCAAAGCAGAGGATCCCTTCCGCAAACCAAAGCCTGGGATGTGGCATCTTATGGAGCAGCACTTCAACTCTGGCATTTCAATTGATATGGATCAGTTATTTTCCTTTCTTTCTTGTATATAATTTCTGTTTAGGCTGTGACCCTACCATGTAAGATGGGATTAATCTTCTGATAAACTCGTCTCTGCACTTGTAGATCATTTTATGTTGGTGATGCGGCTGGGAGAAAAGATGACCATAGTGATGCTGACATCAAATTTGCACAGGTATTGTTACAGTCATGTTATGATTTATGCATATCATCTTTATGCCCAAACTGTCATTTCTTGTTGCATTTTGAGTTTTGATTCTGTGTTTCAAAATGCATCTTGTCTTTTGTCTAATGGTAGTTTGCCTTTCAGTGTGCTGATACAATGTTACACTCCAAAGTTAACACAATCTCTTTACCTTCTTTGGATGATATTACCAATATGTATCCTCAATAAGCACATTTTTTGGAGGTAGAAATATGGTTTGGAGAATGACAACTTGTTCATGTTACAAGATTGTTTTCATAATTTCACATTAAAGATGTCATTGAATATATCATTTTCCGCACTTTCGCTTAAATGAACATGCATTCTCTCGTTATAGTGGTCTAACTTGGTTTAATGGTAGTATCTCATAGGCATCTTATTACAATCATGTAAATTTATTTGTCATTATCATGAACTATGATAAAAATATACCCAACACATTTATGAAACACCTTCATACGTTTAATGGACAGACCATTTTCCTTGATTTGTTCAATTAATCTGGAAATTCAAGTGGTTGGAATATTTTTCAGAGTACCTAACTGAGTTTTTGCCCTAGTGTGCATATTGTTGATGCAGTATATTCTATTGAATGTTCTCACTAGGATGCTTATTAGGTCAACTAGCAACATTACTAAACATATTTTTTCTGGGTTGCAGGCTGTTGGGTTGAAGTTTTATGTTCCTGAGGAATACTTCGATGTGAAGTGAGCATCTGGTTCTTGGATTCTGATTCATGAAATTCCAATCAAATCTTTTTGGCAATCATACTATGCTGATTGTAAGGACATGTTTCAGCATACGGTGGTGATTTTGGGAAGTCATTGTAAATACTTTCTCTGAAAATTTGTGAATTGTTTTAACCTCTCACTCTCACTCGTGTGCATGAGTTCTCATGGATGAACTGTAACTAGCCCACTAGGAAGTTTTGCACGCTTTGCTTTTGATATGCCATGGTTCTAATCATTAAGAATCCTTTTGTTTAACCTAAAGCGTGCACCAACTCGTTTTTGGACATTAAACTCATCTACATCAGCATTACAACAATAGGCCTGTTTGGTAGAGCTTATAAACTGCTTATTTTAATTTTTAGCTTAATTTAAATTAAAATATTATATTTGGTGCAGTTTAAGTTAACCAGTTTATAACTTAAATCAAGTTATTTCTCAGCTTATCTCAAAAGCTGATCAGGGGATGCTTAAATTTTTTACTTAAGTGTGCAGTTGGTGTGGGGGTTAAAATTATTTAAATTTTCTCGTCAATATCCAAATATTAATATTAATTAAAAAATAAAAAAATTGTATATTTCTGAAGAAAAGGAAAAAAAATCAATATTAATTGAAAAATTAATATTTATTGGTATTAATTATTAATAAATTCATATTGTATATTTTTATATTAATTAAAAAAAAAATTGTATATTTCTGAAGAAAAAGAAAAAAATTAATATTAATTAAAAAAATTAATATTAATTGGTATTAATTATTAATAAATTCATATTGTATACTTTTGTAATGAATTAATTATTAATTGATATTAATTAATAACAATTGTTGATTATTAATATTAATTGATACTAATAAAAATTAAATATTAATATTAATTTATATTAATTAATAATTTTAATATTAATTGAGATTAATTAAGTCATTAATTGACACTAATTAATAATTTTAGTATTAATCGATACTAATTAAACAATTAATTGATACTAATTAATTTATAATGGAAAACAATTGTGATAATAATATTTCGATTACATTTTTAACAAATGTATCAATTTTTATATTAATTGATACTAATTAATACTAATTATATTAATTTTTATTAATGAAATATTTTTTAAAAATTAAAATTGAAAAAAATGATAAAATAATTATTTTTATATCATATAAGGACAGAAAGGACAATTATACCGTAAAAAGTTATTTTACACCTTATTAACTAAACATTACTCTGCTGCTTAAAATTATAATCTCACAGCTATACCAAACAGGTTAACAACTTATGTTAACAACTATAAATCACTATAAATCATAACCTATTATATAATCTATAATCACTTTTTCACAATTTTACTAAACAGGACCAGTTACAGAGTAATCTTAATACACCCCGCAAACAATACGCTGGAAATACCGGCTGCCAGGTGCATCAGCCATCTTGAACTCAATGTGAACAGAGCTTATGCTCTATATCATTTGGATTAATGCTTACATTTTCATCGTCCACTATTTGTAGTTTTCTCAAGTTTATTACTTCTACAACAAAACAGGCTTACAGTTCTGCAAACTGTAACTGAAAGTCGTGTGTAGGGCCTCTTGGTCGTTTTTTCTTTTTTTTTTTTTTTTTGATATTATTTTTTGAAAAACAGTCTTCATGTCAATCAGAAACTAAGGGTATGTTTGGTTTGTATCTTCTTTTTTGTTTTATTAATGCTTGAGGGTAATATATGTATTTTCTTTTGTGTTGTATTTATGCTTGATAGCAGTTTTGTCATTTTATCTTTTCTTATCTCCCCTTTTTTTCTTTTTCCCGGCATTTTCTTTGCTAAAATAGGTGGAAATATTATAGAAATTTTGCAAAGTGCTCACTGGAAATCACCCATGTCAGGTTTTCATAGCTTGTGGAATAGGTAAATCTGATGGCAAAGCAGAGGATCCCTTCCGCAAACCAAAGCCTGGGATGTGGCATCTTATGGAGCAGCACTTCAACTCTGGCATTTCAATTGATATGGATCAGTTATTTTCCTTTCTTTCTTGTATATAATTTCTGTTTAGGCTGTGACCCTACCATGTAAGATGGGATTAATCTTCTGACAAACTCGTCTCTGCACTTGTAGATCATTTTATGTTGGTGATGCGGCTGGGAGAAAAGATGACCATAGTGATGCTGACATCAAATTTGCACAGGTATTGTTACAGTCATGTTATGATTTATGCATATCATCTTTATGCCCAAACTGTCATTTCTTGTTGCATTTTGAGTTTTGATTCTGTGTTTCAAAATGCATCTTGTCTTTTGTCTAATGGTAGTTTGCCTTTCAGTGTGCTGATACAATGTTACACTCCAAAGTTAACACAATCTCTTTACCTTCTTTGGATGATATTACCAATATGTATCCTCAATAAGCACATTTTTTGGAGGTAGAAATATGGTTTGGAGAATGACAACTTGTTCATGTTACAAGATTGTTTTCATAATTTCACATTGAAGATGTCATTGAATATATCATTTTCCGCACTTTCGCTTAAATGAACATGCATTCTCTGGTTATAGTGGTCTAACTTGGTTTAATGGTAGTATCTCATAGGCATCTAATTACAATCATGTAAATTTATTTGTCATTATCATGAACTATGATAAAAATATACCCAACACATTTATGAAACACCTTCATACGTTTAATGGACAGACCATTTTCCTTGATTTGTTCAATTAATCTGGAAATTCAAGTGGTTGGAATATTTTTCAGAGTACCTAACTGAGTTTTTGCCCTAGTGTGCATATTATTGGGGTGACCATTGGTTTAATGGTTAAGACTTGGCCTAATAACCTTGAGGTTATGGGTTCAAGTCTTTGGACCACCACTTTACGCTTTATGTTAAAGGTTAGGTGTGTACTGAATCTTTCCCCTTCCAAACACACATTAATGTGTACTTATTGGGCGTTGTTTTTTTTATTTTTAGAATATATTCTATTGAATGTTCTCACTTGTATGCTTATTAGGTCAACTAGCAACATTACTAAACATATTTTTTCTGGGTTGCAGGCTGTTGGGTTGAAGTTTTATGTTCCTGAGGAATACTTCGATGTGAAGTGAGCATCTGGTTCTTGGATTCTGATTCATGAAATTCCAGTCAAATCTTTTTGGCAATCATACTATGCTGATTGTAAGGACATGTTTCAGCATACGGTGGTGATTTTGGGAAGTCATTGTAAATACTACTTTCTCTGAAAATTTGTGAATTGTTTTAAGCTCACTCTCACTCTCACACACAGGTGTGCATGAGTTCTCATGGATGAACTGTAACTAGCCCACTAGGAAGTTTTGCACGCGTTGCTTTTGATATGCCATCGTTCTAATCATTAAGAATCCTTTTGTTTAACCTAAAGCGTGCACCAACTCGTTTTTGGACATTAAACCCATCTGCATCAGCATTACAACAATTACAGAGTAATCTTAATACACCCTGCAAACAATATGCTGGAAATACCGGCTGCCAGTTGCATCAGCCATCTTGAACTCAATGTGAACAGAGCTTATGCTCTATATCATTTGGATTAGTGCTTACATTTTCATCGTCCACTATTTGTAGTTTTCTCAAGTTTATTACTTCTACAACAAAACAGGCTTACAGTTCTGCAAACTGTAACTGAAAGTCGTGTGTAGGGCCTCTTGGTCGTTTTTTCATTTTTTTTTTTGATATTATTTTTTGAAAAACAGTCGTCATGTCAATCAGAAACTAAGGGTATGCTTGGTTTGGTTTTGGGAGAGTATTTTTTAAAAATTGTTTTGAGGAGGGAGTTTAGAATTTTTTTTGGTTTATTTGGTTGTATATTTTGAAAGTAGTTTTGGAGTTTGAGAGTTTCGAATAATTTGATATTTTGTTATAATTGAGTAGATGTGTGTGAGAGAAAAAAGAATTGAGAAGGAGAGGAGAGAAAAAAAAGTGATTGATTGATAGATAAGAGAGGGAAAGTAATTTTGAAAAATTTACAAATCAAATAAATTTTTTTATATTTTTTTTTTCAAAATCACTCTAGAAATCCAAATCAAACATACCCTAAAATGTTTTTTTGATAGCATTTATGGCTGCATAACGAATTTGATGGTTGCAAAAACACAAATTGCATGAGCTTCAAAAACACAAAATTCATCGAGACCTCTTGAAGAAATTTAGAAATTTAAAAAACATCATGAAAAACAATTAGAGCACAATAACATTCAGTGACACGAACATCATTTTCCTGCGCATACCTAACTTTCTCCATGTTGTCCAAAGGAAAATGGAGGCAGCAAAATCATATTTGTAGATCATTTGCAGAAAGAATCTGATCATGGCTGGTATCACATCGCTTCATTTTTTCCTACCAATCTCACCATCTAATAATGCATGCCTCGTCAAAACAATCTCCTTAACAAGGTTCTTGTAAGTAAATGGCCTCACAGCAGCGCGCAAGAACAGCTCAGGAGGGATTCTACTCTTCTTAACCCTCCTCCTGTATGGACCATACCCAACTTGTTTCCATTCTTTTGGACTAACCTTTGCTCTGGTACCCCTCATTGCCAGTTCATCTCCATCTTCAGGGGTTACTTTTTTCCTGCTCTCCTCCATAGTCCTCAATTGCTTCTCGTATAACCTTGTAGACATCTCCAAGCTTCGTTTGGCAATACTTTCCATTGCTTCATTGCTACTCAGTGCCTTCTTAAACTCCCCATCCCAATACTCTACATTCTTTTCTGTACTCGAGTCTTCCTCCTCCTCCTCCTCGTCTTTAATACCCAATACATCGTCTTCATCTCCGTCCACGTCCATAACAACATCATCTTGATCGTCATCATCCTCATCCTCATCACCATCACCAACATCTTCCCCGTCATCCTCTATCCAATCCACAATCTCCTTCTCACCCACATTGCCACCGCGATCTTCATCATCATCCGGGGCATCACAACCTAACTCCTCCTCCTCCAACTTAGCCTTCCACTCCTTCGTATACGGATGCAAAAGCAAAACCGGATGATTCCCCAGCAAAAACTCCAAACACTTAGATTTCTTCTCATCACTCAACTTCTCATAACCCTTAACAACATCATCCACAAACGCCTTCGGATTCACTTTCACAATCTTACACAACCCACCAAAATAAGTACACAGCTCAACCCTCCCATCATCATTTTCCAACTCAAACAAGAAATCTTGCTCCGTCTCCAGATCAAGCAACGGTGTCAATGCCTGGAAAAACTCATCTTGAGGCTCAAACCTACACTGATAAACCGGCCTCTTCACGTATATTATATCCGGTCTCATCCACGCCGCGCACTTGGTAATCAATTCCCTAGTCTTGTTCCCAAGCCTACCCATCAAATTCCACTTATCCAACCTCTGTTTTTTCCCAGCTTCAATCACAACCTCACAAACCAGAGTCCATTGTTGCCAAGGCAAATCTGAAACTCTCCATTTTGGATGACGAACAAAAACCCAAAAGTATCGAAACCCCACATTCTTATCCAATTTGCTCAACCTGTTACCAAAATCTTGAGACATTTCGAACTGCTCAATCTTTTCCCACTCTTCGTGGTCTCGAACTTCGCCGATCATGCTCACGCACTCATCCGAAAATCGACCGCGAATCGGTTCCCCCAAAACCACTCCTCGCCACGAGTAGGGTCCGAATTCACCGTATTTGTACCAATCATAGGGGTGCTTGAGATTCGGATCGTCCTTTTCCATGAATCGAACCATTCGATCGTAGCCGAGACCGATCATCTGAAGCTCTTCTTCGGAGAAATTGTCGGGGTAATTCTTGTGAGGGTTTTTGAGCCTGTAGAAGAGGCTCTCGGCGAGTTTCTGGCTTCGCTTGCGGGCGTTGCGCTTGGCCTCACGGCGGAGCTCGGCGTTGCCTTCGATGCGGCCGGGGGAGGGACCGCCTGTCTTCTTCTTGCTCCGGCCGGCGAAGGAGCGAACGTCTCGCCGGCGTGTGGCATTTTGGCGGGAAAATGGAGGGTTAGGGTTTTGGTAGAGGCAGTGGATGTGGAGTGGTTTTGGGTTTTGAGGGCAGAGGTGGATTGGGTGTAGAGTTTTGTGGAGAGGGTTTGGGAATTGGAAGGTAGACAGAGAAGGGTTTAGGGTTTTAGAGAGAGAGAGGTTTTGAGTCAGCATTTTTCGAGCTACAGAGACAGAGAGAGAACACTGTAGTGGGAGAAAGAAAAGGATAAGTCTTGTTGGCACAAAATCACTATGTTACTATAATAAATATTTTCAGATGTGTGATTGGTAGTTCTAAATAAAGTTTTACTGAGGTGGCAGTTAAAAAAAAAAATTAAAGTTAAAATATCCTATAGGATAATAGGACTCTCCTATTAGAATTATTAAAGTTTATAAATTAAAATTTTAAAATATTTTTGTTATATTTTTATAGATAACTTAAAAAAAATTAAGGTCAAGTTAAATTTTTAAAAATTAATTATTGATTAATACTATAATGTATCATTTTATATTTGAATATTTGTAAAATTTATTATTAATTTATAATTTTTTTTAAAAAAAAATATACTAACATGTAGTTTTCTTTAAAATGTAAGTTGTGACTAAACAGTTAAAAAGTCATTAAAAAAAATTAAAAAATCAATAATTTACATAAAAAAGTAAATATATATTTTTTCTTTTTATTTTTTGTACATTTTTTTGTTAAAAATATTAAAAAGTTATTTCAAATATATTAATTTTTTACCTATTTTTAATTAAAAAGTTAAAAAATTATTAAAATATTATATTTCTAAACTATTCGAATTGTTTATGGATTTTGTTGGATTATTTTAGACATTTTTTTATGATTTATTTTTATTTAGAAATGTTAAAAAATTAAAAGTTAAAAAGAAATATTCAACATTTTGACTATTCTTTATAATGGGGTTGTTTGGTGGGGCTTTTTTGAGTCAACTTATGGCTTCTGCTTTTAAAAAGTTATTTTGGACTGTTTGGTTAAACTTATTTCAAACAGCTTCTCATTCTAACAACTTATTTTAAGTCAAAAAAGCTGATTCTGGGAAGCTGCTCACCACTTGCTTCTGATTATCAGCTTCTGCTGTGGGACATGTTAATTTACGGTTATACTCTTAATTTTTTTTATTTTTTATTTTTTTAAAAATAAAAAAAAGACCCAAATGGACTGTAAAATATTATTATTATTTTTTATGAGAAATGTAGACAAATAGTGAATAATAAAAAATAAAAATTAATTGAAAAAGCTACTTCACAGCTTATTTAACAAACATTACTTAGTAACTTAAATCTATAATCCAACAGTTATACCAAACAGATTAACAGCTTCTGATTAAAGTCATAACCTATAATCTGTTAAGTTATAATCTATAATCTATTTTAACAACTACACCAAATAGCACCAATGTAAGTTGTGACTAAAAAGTTAAAAAGTCACTAAAAAAAATTAAAAATCAACAATCTACATAAAAAATTAAATATATATATATATATATATATTTTTTACTTTTTACACATCTTTTTTTTACACGCTTTTTCTAAAATCGTTAAAAAATTATCTCAAATATATTAATTTTTTTCCCTCATATTTTAATTTAAAAGTTAAAAATTACTAAAATAGTATATTTCCAAACTATTCGAATGTGTTTATGGATTTTTGTTTGACTATTTTAGACATTTTTTTTATGATTTATTTTTTATTTTTTATTTTTTATTTTATGTATTTTCTCTCTCTCTCTCTCTCTCTCTCTCAACATATACAGAGATTTTGTTTAGCTAAGATTTTAATTTTAAAGCTAACTCATTAACCCTTTTTTGGTTAAAAAAATCATAATTTATTTGATAATTTTATTTTTTACTAGTACAAATTTCACTTTAATCACTTTAAAAAAAAAAAATTAAAAAAATTGAAACTATACTAAACAAATTACTTTTTATAACATTATTTTTAAATAAATTTATTTACGAGAAATCATAGTAATAATAAAAAAAAATCAAAATTTGACTCTGATAATAAAATAAATTATGAATTTTTAATTTTGTTAATTTAAATTATATATATTTTTATTTAGTTTCAATATAAATCATCTATCTATTTTTGTGAATCAATAGAAAAAGATATATTTTAGTTATTAAACTTAATACAAAATAATATTTTACATATATTTATATTAAAGTTAATTACTAAAATATTATTTTTGTGTCAATTTAGATCGAAAATAAATAAATAAATTTAAATTTAAATTAATAATAAAAATTTAAGAATCTACCTTAACTCCAAACATACTTTAGAGCTTCTTCAACACTTACTTCTTTCTTTTATTAAATTTAAATTTGATTAAAAAATTTAATTTGAATGTTTTAATCATAATATTAAACTAATATCAAATTTAAAATTTTTTAAATTTTTTATCAAATTAAAATTACCCGAAATATTTTAAAAAATTTATAAGTGACATTAAGCCGAACATTCGTATAAATGTCCTTTCGAATAAACTACTCCTTGTAAAATTATCTTACAAATTATTATGATCCTTCTACACCAAATCAGTCTACTAATCGGACATCTCCTTAGGTTGTTTTGAAAAATTGGTAAAAAGTTAGTTTTTGATTTTTTATCAAGTTTTTTGGTTTTTTTTGAAGTGATTTAAGAAGTTGGTAAAAAATTGACTTTTTACTTTTTAGTTTAATATTTATTTGTAGTGTCAAATCAAATTAAAATAATCAAAATATCCTTACCCAACATAAGAGATTTATTATTTTACTTTTTTTCATAGGTCCTAATTTGTAATTTTAAGACTACATTTTTGACACTTGCGTTTTTGATAGCCACGTTTTTAGATATTTTATCCAAAAACATGACTTTTTACTATATTTCCAAAATGACACTCAATGATTCTGCCCGATACTTTGATAAAAGTTTAATTTTTTTTTTTTGGTTAGAACCCACAATCAAATAAAAGTGCTTTGCCACGAAGGTTTTTATCCATTTTGAGTCACATTACTTTTCATATTTTTTATCTATTAGAAGATAAAATAAATTAAAAAAAAGTAAAAAAATTAAATTTTTACTAACTTTTTTTTCAAAATTTTAATTAAAAAAAATAAAAAAATTACCCCCATTGCAATTCATCAGTTGCATCTTTTCACTTCCTTATCTCCACCTTCATTCCCCTGTTTTCTCCCAGATCCCTACACTCCAATCAATCCCAATCTCTCTCCAACAATCTCAAGTCATGCCCTAAATCCTAAAATGGCTACACGTAGCCACACCACCGAGTTTGGCTCCATAGCCTGCGACGACCTCACCGAACTGGGTTCAGTCAAGGAAGGCTGGCTCTCCGACAACCCTCACATCCTCACCGCCTTCGATACCCACTCTCTCGCCCTCGCCAACCGCTCTCTCGTCCTCATCCTCATCCTCGACTTGTCCCACGGCACCGACCCGGCTAGTCCCGTTTTATGATGTAATTAGTCACCATCGGCGACGGTGTAAAACGAACTGTCGCAAAAAATAAAAAAAATAAAAAAATTACCCCCATTGCAATTCATCGGTTGCATCTTTTCATTTCCTTATCTCCACCTTCATTCCCCTGTTTTCTCCCAGATCCCTACACTCCAATCAATCCCAATCTCTCTCCAACAATCTCAGTCATGCCCTAAATCCTAAAATGGCTACACGTAGCCACACCACCGAGTTTGGCTCCATAGCCTGCGACAACCTCACCGAACTGGGTTCAGTCAAGGAAGGCTGGCTCTCCGACAACCCTCACATCCTCACCGCCTTCGACACCCACTCTCTCGCCCTCGCCAACCGCTCTCTCGTCCTCATCCTCGACTTGTCCCACGGCACCGACCCGGCTAGTCTCCGGGTCAAGATCCGGCCCACATTGTCCCCGATCGAGGCCGAGTACGTGTCTGCGATTGAGTGGTTGGTGTTTGATGATTTTCGAGTGATTGCTCTCGGGACCTCATGTGGGTATTTGTTGATTTACTCTCTTCAAGGCGATCTAATTCATAAGCAGGTTGATAAAATCATCACTTTTGATTATACAATGTAGAAAAGTAGTGAAATTGATTGTGGGACAAGAATGATTGGAGTTGTTAATTGTGTAATTTTAAGAGTTGTTATTGGGTTTGATGGTTTTCTGGGAATTGGGTTTGAAAGATGATGGAGAAAAGGAAAGAAATTGGAACTTAGAGATATATAGTTTAGGATGCTAGTTGGGTGTGAAAATTTGTGCGGAAAAAAGAAAGAAATTTGAAATTTTGAAATATCAGATTCGTTCTCAGATAGTGTGATTTTCTGTTTTGTTTTGTGGAAATTTTTTTAGTAGATTAAAGGAATTACAAACTTGCGTTGAAGTTTGGTATGGTTTTGTGGATCATTTTTGGTTTGAGAGTGATATGATGTTTTGGACATTGGGACCAAAACTTTCATAGAATCAAATTGGATGTTCGCAATTGCTGGCTTTACTTTTGAAGTTTTGAAACACTTTAAGATATCGTACGCCAAGCAAATTAGTTAATCTATGTCCACTGACAATTTGATAATGAGGCGAATTCATATCAATTAGTGTTGTATGTGTAAGCACGATGGAGAAATCAGTCAATCATCTTCTTCTTATTCTTCATTGTAGGGTGGCAAGAGATATGTGGTCCTTATTTATCAAAAAAGAGAAAAAGAAAAAGAAAAAAAAGGAGAGAGATATGTGGTCCTTGATTTATTGTATGTTTGTCTTAGGGTGGGTATTTCGTAGAAATTTGATAGATTTCTTTCCATTATTTGAAGGGGGTTTAGAACGAGGACGAGAAGGAAAAAGACTTGATTTTTTTTTGGGCATGCTTTTGAATTGACGTCGATCATTCGGGCAGAGGAAATCAAAAGACTTTTGATGGGTTAGAAGAACCTATTTTTAAGTTGAAAATTAGATATTTTTATTTTATTTTATATAGTTAGTCCTTTGGAAGAGTTGTACATCAATTTTTGGGCTTTGTAGCTTTTTTGAGTAAAGTTTCGATGTACAGAGATTGTTAGCCTTTTGTTTATTTCTTCTTTAGTGTTATATGGGTGGCACTCCCTTGGTGCTTCTTTTTATAATATCTTTACTAATCCAAAAAAACAAAATGTTGTTTTGAGGTTTGTAAGCAACTGATTAATGACTTGCATGTGTGTACTTATGTGACTTTATAAGTTGGGACCAATATGTTATAAGTTGATTGAGTACTTGCTCATCTTATTTGTTTATACTAGATACATTTTCTTCTTCTTATTCTCAGCTGCAAAGAGAAGTATGAATGGGATTTCTGTTTATGGATGCAGTTTCATGAGCCTTATTTTCTTTTTGTGCCAATGATACAAAGATTGCGGAACTTATTAGTTAATTTTTTGTGACAGATTGTATATCCTGCTCGAATTCTTCGTCTAAGAGTCCATGGCACCAAGAAAGTTAACACGCAAGATACATCATCTGAGGAGATTTGTGTTGCAATGCCTGGTCTGATTGCTCGTTTTGATGGATCTGAGATCCAGGTATTTGATATTCTCGGCTGCAAAGTGCTGAAAGTTTTGTGTCTGAATTGTGATGTTCTAAGGTCTTAGTGAATCAGGTTACCATTTGTGGGATAAGTTAATTTTTTTCTTAACATCAGAAAATTTGTGTGGTCAGGCTCTTTGCATTTGTTTCACTTTTTAGGGGTTTAACATTTTGGATCCTAAATTCATTATGGACTAACATGTTCTTTCTTTCTTGAAATGTAGAGCATGCTTCAGCGATGGTTTCAAGAAACAAGCTCTCAGTTCTGGGATCAAAAGAGAGATGCAGATGATTGTGGGAGTTCCCATGGAAGACTGCCTTACCAGCTATGGAACGTTAACAAGTACGGGTCATGTGCTGATGCAGCAATAACTGGCATAATGCCTCCCCCACTGTTGGAACAGCAGGTGATAACATATGCTGCTCAATCTTAACAGATATATTTAAAACATTAGTGACATGCTTTAATTCCAATAAAGACACTGTTGAATTGTTCAATCCCTTATGGAAGCTTTCTGAAGTTATTCTGGTATTTGAATTCAGCTGGTTTTATTGTTGGGCAGTCAAGTCAACGTTATTATTGTGCAGTTACCATTGGAGATGATGCTGCAATTTCAGCATTCAGGTTAGCATAGTGGGATTTCACACTATAAAAACCCACTCATTGTTTTCTTTCAAATGGTTTTGATTACCTTGTTAATGCATTTGTATAATCATTTTGATATTTTCCTCTTTGTTTCAATTTTTGTTTGGTTCTACAAAAGACTATCAGAGGACCACGGTAGGTCTTTGGTAGGAGCTATTCTGTCAAAAGTCGTGCCAGCAACATTTTCAACAATAGCCTCTTTTTCAAAAATGATATGGCGGAGTGAACAAAAATCAACAAAAAAGCGAGAAGCAAAGCCCCAACCATTTGCTCGAGGTGATAATGATTTCCTTTATGTTTGAACTTGTACTTTTATTTTTTTACTAGTGTATGCCCGTGCCTGAAGGCACGGTGTAAATAATATTATGATCAAAATATAGTTGTAATTTATACGTATCATGTTAAAATTTATGAAGTCTATATCATTTTTTGATGATTCGTAAAGAATTTTCACATGCCCTATAGAACTCAATTAACAACTCCCCTAGCCTTAATACAAATTAAGGAATAAATATAATAAATTTATAATGTTCAGTAATATTGCAAATCAAAATAGTAAAATGTAAAGTAAAAAAAAATAAAAATTTGTAACTCGTGCCTAAAGGCACTCTCAACAATATTTTTGGTACCTCACACTCTACAAAACTTAATTAAAATAAATCAATTTAGAATGACAACAATTTCATTAAACTATAGAGCTCAATTAAAATAAATCAATAACAATTTCATTGCGCCATAGAACTCAATTATAACAAATCAATTCAAAATGACATACTTCAAGCACAAGAGGAATGGTGAATGAACATTTTGGTACAAAAGAAAAATCATTATAGCTTATTAAAAAACAAAAAAACTAATCATCTAGTCAAGAATGAAAGACCAGTCATTAACACACATAGAAAAAAGCAACACAACCACAACAATTCGACTTAAAAGAATCAGCTAAAAGAAATCATAACAGGAAAACTCATTCAAAATATTTATGAGAAACTGGAAAACCAATAATTATGAATTAAGAGAAATTGAACATAAAAAAATTTATAACATCTCTTCTTGATAAAAGCACCAGTGTCTTTCCCAATTTACCTACAATTATCAAACTAAATACTATCAATTATCACATTCACACTTGAACAATTTTTTTATGATCAAAATGCATCATTCCTCATAGAAGGCTAAAAAAAAAAAAAAACCATTTAAAAAAAGTAATACTTGAGAAAATCCAAACAATCCAAACTGACTATTGCCGACAAAAGCAAAGAGGCAAAACAAACTATTGTATTAAAACTAAAAAGATAGGACACCTAGTCAAGGTTCCTCACCTTCATAAGTATGAAAGTGTAATGTAGATAACCGGTTTATTCCCTTCAAAAAAATTTGCCTTGAGTTGAAATGGACTATCATAGAACTAAATAGGAAAAGCAATATAAAGTCCTGCACTTCCTTTTATGTAGTGTTAAAAAAAAGGATAATGCTTCCAAATGCCTTCGAGATTTACCAAATGCAACCATCACTTCAATCTGTGAGTTAGTATTACAAAAGATTAGTTCAATTCCTTCACCTTCCCTAATTTGAAGAACCTTTACAGTTTGTTCATATAAAGCCATATAAGAAAAGTTAATTGAAGTAAGCATGTTAAATAAATAAATAGGCATTGAAGTAAAAGTTTATTGACTACATCATGCATTATTTTATTAGACAATGATGAGACTGCTTGAATATTTAAAATCTAAGATCTTACACAATCATTAATGGTACATTATACCCTGTTTCTCACTTAATCCCATTAAAAGAAATAAGTTTAGAAATTACAAACGCATTTAAACTAATAAAAAAATATCCATGAAACCCATGGCCATCAAAGTCACCATCTTGTTGTGTCCTTGGGTCAATATTCACTTATCCAGCTTTTCATTGGAAGAAAAAACCGGAATATGCAAACCAAAAAAAAATCATGCATGCAGGAACAAATTTAAATTCTTTGTTTTTGATGAATGTAACAAATCTAGTAGTCCATGGCAAAACTGATATTACACCTATTACTACATTCCTAAGTATGCATCAATGTCGGAATTAAGAAAAGACCACAATGTTGCATTCAATTATTCAAACATGAGGAGCTTTCAACATAATTAGAAGCACAACAATAGAAACTTGACACAACACAACCTACTGGTAACATCAAATAAAAGTGTAACAACAATACTAATATTATGAAGTATCAAATGCTTTGTAGTCTTGAAACATACTAATATTTTAATTGTTAAATAAATAAAAATGCTTCAGGAACCATACCCAGTTGATAAGAATTTTATTCAACAACCATCTTGGGACTAAAAAAACTGTGATGTCAACACTTTATATTCTTTGTTTTTGGTGAACATGACAAATCTAGTAGTCCATGGCAAAACTGATATTACACCTATTACTACATTGCTAAGTATGTATCAGTGTCGGAATTAAGAAAATACCACAATGTTGCATTCAATTATTTGAACATGAGGAGATTTTAGCATCAATTTTGTTTTTCTTCATAAATAAGCAGACATTATTAAAAAGTATCAAGATGATGCAAATAATACCAAAATTCAGCCCCCAAAGGGATAACAAAGCTAAAAAATCAAATCATTCACAAAATCTACAAAAGCCAAAACATTTAGATCAACCAAAACATTGACTTATTGGCTTATTTGGGTCATATCACCTCTCTACTTTCTATACATTTTTAAGCCAAAAAATCAGCTTATGATCCACATATAAACTTGACAAAACACAATCTACAGTTAACACCAAATAAAAGTTTAACAATACTAATATTATGAAGCATTAAGTGTTTTATAGTCTTGAATCATACTAATATTTTAAATGTTAACCATACCAGTTGATAAGAATTTTATTCGAGAACCATCCTGGGACTAAAAAAACCTGCGATGTCAACACTTTGAAGGTTGTTGAACCTCTTTTAAAATTAAAAAAAAAAAAAACTTTTGTGATAAAATAAAAAATTCAGCATCTCACCAAAAAATAAAAAATAAAAAATAAAAAAGAAAGAAAAATAAGCATTTCTGTGAGAAAAAGATATTACCAAAAAGAAGAATATATCAAAATAATCTAGCGAATGACCAGTGCCTAAAGGCACTCCCCAACCAAAATGAAGCATAAATTATTAACATCTGATATTCCTTAAACTCACTGTTAGCCTCACTCTACATTGTTAATCCTCAAACAGTCCTCAAAGATTCAATTTTCTCAAGAAAATCAAATTAAGGATATTAATGCAACAAAATTCACTCTAAATATTCACCCAAAAAAGTCCACTCTAAATGGTTAACAACAAAGTCCAAAACAAAGAATAAAATAAATAAATAAAAAAAAGAAAAGAAAAGCAAGTAGACAAATACAAATCTGAATAAAGGAGCTCTCATATGATCTAAACAACAATGTTAGGAATACAGATGTTTAAAAACAAACCCAAAATAGAATTGTAAACAAACACCAAATCAAAATCAAATTAGAAAACAAAGGCACCTAAGGATCTCATCACAGCTTGAGTTGAAGATAGAAATGTTTTTAGAGATCTGTTAGTTGGCAAAATGGGAAAAGGAAAAAACCAAAAAAGGAAAAGCTCATTATGTAATGAAAGAGGCACAAAAATAGTGAAAGCAAAAATTAGAAAACCTAGACAACAAAAATTAGACTTTGATGAGGTAATGACTAGGAGGAAGGGGCAAAGCTGAGGAGTGATTGAGAGATACCTAGAATCTGAGATAGGTGAAGTGTTAAAAAATAGACCATTGGATTAAATTAATCTAGACCATCCAAATTGCCACACAAGACAAATACATTTTCAAAATCAATGTTGGAAATGGACCATGGATGAAAGAGAGAAGCAATCCTAGCCATTGGATCAAATACTATCCTTCCTTGTTATATAGAATTTTCTCTAAAACTAAATATTTGGTGTTTTTTCAAATTTATTCCCCTATCGCATTGCTACCACCTTCTTTGTCTTTCCCTCCCCTACCGCACACCCTCTCTGCCTCACCAACAACTTACCAAATCCATAAAGATAGAAATTCAATAAAACAAAAGTAAACCAGCAAATGTGTTAAAGAAATCTAAAAGCGCATCAACTAATAAAAAATCGAAAACATCAAAATCAACAACCAACAGAAATAATGATTGATTAAGCATGATATGAAAAGTAGATGTCAATGAATACCTTCAATTATTTGGATGATCTCGTAAAAGCATAATTAGAATTACTTCATTTATTTCCTGCAGAATAACGCAAAAGATCATCTAGGGGATTCCATTCTAGAAAACCATGAACAATAGCTTTTGAATGTGAAAATGTGCAGGAAATATTGTGAAGTAGGCTTGGGAATTATTGACCGAAATAACAAAAAGTGTAGTTAGGAGATAAACAACAGTATAGGAGTTACTAAAATGATTGTGAATCACTTTGGCCATATGAGTCCTCTTCTTGTTATAATGCTTTTAAAATTACATGAACCTCAAATATACAAACAGATTTCATGAGTATTCAAATGATTAAAAAAAATATACATAGGAAAAAAAAATGAATCACATAAAAAATATTCTTACAAATAGTGATTATATCAGAAACCTCAAAAATTGTTGACCTTTAGCAAGAAGAAATCAAATTTCAGAAATAGATTTAGAAAAATTCCAAAAAATCATGAATCACGTAAAAAAATATTCTTACAAATAGTGATTATATTAGAAACACCAAAAAATGTTAATCTTTAAGCAAGAAGAAAGCAAATTTTAAAAATTGATTTAGAAAAAATCCATACCAAATTTTCATACCTTTGACATAACTTCACCATTCTACGACCGAAGAACCAAGGGACATTACAAATTCTCCTGTAATACAGATTAAATAAAAAAATAGATAGAAAATTAAATCAGTAATGGGATTGGTTAACAAAAATACAAACAGATTTCATGAACCGCGTAAAAAATATTCAAAATTATACAAACAACGATACTACAAAGAACAAAAATTGTGCTTGAGAGAGAAGGGGGAGTGAGTTAGGGATTGGGAAGAGGGAGTTGGAGCTTTAGAGGGGGAGATCGAGCAAGGCTAGAGTAGATTGGCAAAGTTGGGAAGAGGATGATTAGCACTTCATTTTAAAACCAACTCACCAATAGGATTGGATTGTATGATACCCTTCAACAATAGGATTTCAGTTTGAGATGGTTGCTGATTTTGCATATGAGACGGAAAAAAAAAAAAGGTGGAGAAAGTAGAAGAATTATCCCTCTACTAAAAAATTATACATATTATTTTGAATTTGGATGATAATGTTGGACCCAAAAAACCAATCTCTACCTCTCTTTGACCCATTTACAAATGGATATGGTCATGGTTGTATAAATTCTCTCCCAAATAATATACAAAAAGAAAGAAATTACATAGTATATTTAAGTCAACCAAAAAAAAAAAACACACAAACACAATTCAAAATCAAAGAATCATGAGATTGTTGATAAAATGTTACTATTTGTCAATAAAAAAACAAAGTGTTAAATGAATCAATGTAGAATTAAATTGAAAAAAAAATAAAAATAAATTAATGTGAGCCTACCAAATTTTTAGGCAATGAGAACACATAAATGTAATCAAATTCCAACCACAAAGTTTGGATGCAAAAGATTCTTAAGAAGTTTCACTTTTTTAAGCAAATTGAAAGCAATGCTTCAGGTACGAATTGTAAGAATCAATCACAATTAAAGCTATAAAATAGATAAATAAATAAATAACTAAATCAGTACCAAAAACAATTGAAAAAACTAGCACAACTTTTTTTTCTAAAAAAAAGAACATAAAAAATTGCCCAATCTTCTTAAATACAGATGAATGATTTACCATTGCGATTCACTTATTTCAGTTCAATAATTTAGAATAATAATTCAAAATTATTTACACAAATGTAAAGAGAGATTAGGGGTTTGTGATATGGAATACCTACCGCATCTGTTGCCGAGACTCGAGATTCTGATCTGTTCTTAGTCCGCCATGCTCCCTTTAACAACTTCAATCAGTGAAATAAACACTCGTCATCCATCAATCGCCTGCTAGAATGAGGCTGTGACAGTTGCGCAAGGAGGGGTTGAGGTTTGTGAGGAAGAGAGTGAAGGGTGTGTGCATGTGTGTGTGTGTGTGTGTAAGAGAGAGAGAGAGAGAGAGAGAGAGAGGGAGGTAGTCTTCAAGAATTATGTTTGAAATTTGAAATCTGAAAAATAGAGGGCGAGAGAAATGCGATCTCAGCCTTTGATTTGTATGCCCTTGATGTGTGATCTCAGCCCTTGATTTGTATGCCGCATAGACAAATGTCCCATCAACTCCCTAGCAACAATGAATGTAAAACAGATTGAAAGAAACTGACCAAGCTACTACTATGCACAGTGATGCATCTAAAAGTAACAAATAATAGACACACAATACAACAAAAAATGAAAGCTAGTCAAGAAAGTAGATATAGAGACATACCTTGACACATATAGAGGAGATATAGAGGCATGGAGAGAGAAAACAATTGAGATGGTTGCTTTCCTTACAATGGATACTCTTTTTATTAGGCAATGACATTATTGAAGGAGAGAAAAAGAACAAACAAAATGAAATAAGGAACAATCTCTTTTCCTAAATATTTATATTATGATCAAAGAAAATGACACAAATACACAAAATAGTGGCAAAAGTGACACAAAAACCAAATATTTTAAGTTTGAATTAACTGATAAACCTTACAAAGCCCTATCGAGGCTCATATGGCCTTCATAGGTCATCATCATCAACATGGATGTCCATACTTTGCGGCTGGAATATCTTCAAAGTCACAAAATGACAACTGAAAAAAGGAAACAAAATCTCCAATGCAAAAATTAATACCTAGGATTAGGAAGAGAAACGTGTGCATCTGAAAAAAGGGAAGAAGACGATGGAAACATAATTGAAGGTCTGTGACACTCCTAATTCCATAATTAAAATAAATACAACATAAAACACAATATCCAAGCCAATTATCAACACTACATCTTGACTGGAAAAAATAATTATTATAAACTCAAGGATATATCAATAGCAAAACCCCAACCTGCAAGTTAGTTTAACAATAGATCTAAAACAATATACATACACAATGCTGATAATAAATGTTAAAAAAAAAAAAAAAAATTAGAAACACCAATAGCTCTACAACAATCTCCAAAATCCCAACTTGTAAGTTAGCTTAACAATAGATCTAAAACAATATACATACACAATGTTGATAATAAATGTTAAAAAAAAAAAAAAAAATTAGAAACACCAATAGCTTTACAACAATCTCCAAAATTCCAACCTGCAAGTTAGTTTAACAATAGATTTAAAACAATATACATACACAATGCTGATAATAAATGTTAAAAAAATAGAAATTAGAAACACACGGGTTAAACGCATTATGTGGAAACACAACTCATAACCACAACACAAAACTTCAATTAAATGGAACTCAATAAATCATATTCTAACAAAGTAGTTACCTCCATAACATAATGGGTTCTCTCTTGTGATCTACAAAACATAGAAGATGAAGAGATTCATACAGTAGGTTGTGTTCGAAAGTTTTAAAGAGTGTTTTGTTGGAAGAAAATCTGACCTACTGAAATATGAAACTGAAGAAAATCTGAAATTGAAATCAGTTGACTTGGTTGAAGACGACTTGCAAAGCCCACCATTTGATTGAAGACGATTCGCTCAACTTTGAACGATTGAAATGGGCAATTTCATATTGCAATGGGCAAAATCGAACCCTTCAATTTCAGATTGAAACGGGCAATTTCATATTGTAATGGGCAAAATCGAACCCTTTGGTCGGGGTTGCAATGGGCAAAGTCGAGAATGAATAGGGGGTTGAGGTTGGATATCCGCATAGGATGGGCTCCGATGGGGATAGATCGGGTAGAAGAGAGAGAGAACCAAAGAGTGTGTTTGACTGTGAGATAGATAGAGAGAGAGAGAGAGGGTGGAATGGGGAAGAGAACGCTTGGTAGAGAGAGAATGGTATCAAACTTTTGAAATGTTTGAATTTTGAAACCTGAACAAACAAAGCCTGAGAGAGAGAGAAAAATAAAAGAGAAGTGTGATCTCAGCCCTTGAAATGCATGGTAAGAAGTGTAATCTCAGCCATTAATTTGTATGCCACCTAAAACAAATCTCCCATCAACACCCTTGTTTTGTTATATAGATTTTTATTACTGTAATAAAAACTTTATACAAGATTTTGTGAATATATAAGATGGAAATAAATCACCTTAGTAGTATGGATTGAGTACTGGTTTTCTATCATATATCAATTTTGAACATTTTGTATACTACACGCAAGCATACGTTCGTGCATTCAAATATTCACCTTGAAAGATGAAATTAAGGCCTCATTTGGGAACCGGCTAATTTAGTAACTTTTTTGCTATTTGGCTAAAAAGGTAGGTAAAAAAAATTTGTATGTTTGGGATGACTTTTTGGTTAATTACGAAAAGATGTGCAAAAAGTAGAGAGAAAAGAGAATCTTTGACTTTTTGGTATGAGTTGTTGACTTTTTGGCTAATTTAGTAACTTTTTGGCTAATTGGCTAAAAAAGTAAGTCTCCAAACGGGGCCTAAGTATAGGTGATACTAATTTTTGTAATTTATTTGAGCTAACTCATAGTTGTATTTTAAATGTGAGCATGTGACATGACAGTTTATTTATATCCCACCTATTAGTTTCTTTCTGCTGTCAAAGCTTTATGTTATGTTATTATGATTTTTGGCAGCTTCTCCTCTTATGTGTTTGAAGGATTACCCAAGGAAGGGTGAGAAGCTCACCTTATCACCTAGTGGTACATTGGCAGCAATAACGGATTCACTTGGCCGTATACTACTTTTAGACACCCGGGCACTCATTGTAGTGCGGCTATGGAAGGTTTTCTCTTTTCTCTCAACAAGCACTGAATTGAATGCCTTTTTCTGACATCTTTTGGTAGTATTAGTTTTCTTTTCCTCTGCTATCCCAGGAGTTCAGCTTCACTTTTTTCACAGGGATATCGTGAAGCTAATTGCCTGTTTATGGAAATGCTAGTCAATAAAGATACAGCAACATCAAGTTCCAATTATTATGAACATGTGAAGAGTGATTATTGCCTGTGCTTAGCCATTCATGCACCTCGAAAAGGGATTATTGAGGTACTATTTTCTTGCATTAGCAAATTAATTTTGATTTATGATCTCTAATTTCCAGTGTCAAAACTGGTAGGGAACTGTCTCATTGCATGTTCCACTGGAGCTACTACTATACAATTCAGCTATTAATGTTTGGAAGATTTGGCAGTCATTCACAATGTCTTGGCAATTGAATTCAATTTTCAATATTTCTATTAAAGGAGTGTGCTTCTCTCAGCAATTCAATTTTTCTCCATGCAGGTTTGGCAGATGAGGACAGGACCCCGACTTCTCGTCATTCCATGTACAAGAGGGAGCAAAATACTGCAACCCACCTACAGATTTGGGTCGTCATCCATGTCAGCTTCATCTTATGTTCCTTTGGAGGTTTTTTTGTTGAATGGTGACTCTGGTCAATTCTCAGTTTTAAATCGATCTCTTAATTGAATTTATGTTATTTTTTCTCTCCCATTAATTGAATTTATTTTTGTGTTTAACAACATTTTTTTTAACTTACCAGTCATTTTTTAATAAAACTATGCTATCTTGCAATTTTACTCTGCTTTTTTTACACACTTGGAGGGCATGTGATGCATTGACTGATAGCCTTATAGGAAAATTTTCATATCCTAATATGTGCATGGCATGAACAGAATGGTAGATGGGACATGAACAAACGCCCTAGTGGCTCACTGTTTGTTTGACTTGTTGCTACAAACTTGTACAGATGTACCCAACCCTCAAATTGCAACTATTTCTGGTTGGAAAAGAATGTATCAATCAAAGATATTCTTCTGCATCATTGTGCATAAAAATGTTTTTTTAAAAAAAGGAAAGATTTTGTTAATGTGTCTTAAGGATATAGATTAAGAAAATTAAAAGATTACACATTCTACACAAAAATACTTTTGGCAAGTAGGTTAAAAATCAATTTTTTTTAAAAAAACTTAAAGAACGTTTAAAAAAATAGAGAGGTGATATAATTCAAAGTCAAAAAGTTAAAAAATTAACTTTTAATCCAGTTGACAAAATAGGCTGATGTATAATTTGCTAAAAATTTCTTAACCTATTGACCAGACTTCTAGAAAAATGTTACTTTTTTTTTATGAAAGTAAAATGTTTTTCATTAAATAATTCAAATATTGATTAGTTATTTAATTAATACTTATTTAACAATATATATATACAAAGATTAATTTTTTATGGGTTGTTTGCAATAGGTTAAATTAGTTAAAAAGTCAAAATTTTATTTCCATTCTTTTAACTTTTTGATTTTTTTTGCAGGTTTTTCTGTAAAAAGTCAAAATATTAATCTTAAATATTTTAATTTTTTTCACTATATTTTTAATCAAAAAATTAAAACTACTTAAAAAAAACCATATTCCAAACATAAACGTTAGCTAGAATCTATGAGATGGTTGGTGAAGTCCTACTTGTTCTAATATAAAACCCTAGATTATCCTTTAGCTTGACGTGAGGTATTGGTTTCACTTTTCACCAATCTCACTCTCTCACTCTCTCTCTCTCTCTCTCAAGTTTCACTCTCTTGAGCATTGTTCTATATAATGTCACTCAAAAACACACAAGCAACAACAGCACAGCCGCCATTCATGGCATTCTCTCTCCTCTCTCTCCTCGCCTTCTGTCTCCTCCTACCTCCCTCCACCACCGCAAACATCCACAAAACCACCCACTTCATACCAGACCTCACCTCTCATCCCATTCCCTCCACCAACGCCCCATCAACCACATACTTTGAAGTCACCAAACCCATCAAACTACCCAGAACCAAACCCTGCTCATACCTCCTCCTCCACCACGATTTTGGCTACACATACGGCAAACCACTAGTTCTCTCCAAGTACACCCCCCCTTCCAATTGCCCATCTCAAAATTTCGCCACAATCGTCCTCGAATGGAAAGCAACATGTAAAGGCACCCAATATGATCGTATTTTTGGGGTTTGGCTTGGCGGCGTTGAGCTTCTCCGGAGCTGCACGGCGGAGCCAACAACCGCCGGAATTGATTGGACTGTCAAGAAGGACGTCACAAGGTATTACTCATTGCTCATGACCAACCAAACCCTTGCTGTTTATCTTGGTAACATTGTTACTAGTACTTACACTGGTATCTACCATGTGAATATCACAATTCATTTTTATCGATTTCAATTCGGATAATTGGTTTCGTTCTGGGGCTGATTTGATCTTACCCATTTCGCGAAATTTGCCTTTGAATGACGGGTTGTGGTTTGAAATTGAGAATTCAACTGATGTAGAATCAAAGAAGTTCAAGATTCCCCAAAATGTGTATAGGGCTGTGTTAGAGGTTTATGTCTCATTTCATGGGGATGATGAGTTTTGGTATGCGAATTTACCGAATGAGTACATTATTGCAAATGACCTTACTGATACGCCTGGGAATGGGCCTTTTAGGGAGGTTGTGGTTAGTTTGGATGGTATTGTAGTTGGTGCTGTTTGGCCTTTTACTGTGATTTATACGGGAGGGATCAATCCCCTCCTATGGAGACCCATTACAGGGATTGGTTCTTTTGATCTCCCTTCTTATGATATCGAAATTACTCCGTTTTTAGGAACAATTTTAGATGGAAAGGTCCATGAGTTTGGATTTAGCGTAACGAATGCTTTGGATGTGTGGTACATAGATGCGAATTTGCACGTTTGGTTGGACAAGAAGAATGTAAAAACTCAAGGACAGCTTTTGAGACACAAAAGCTTGCCTGCTGTTATTTCTTCAGTATTAAATTTTACAGATCTAAATGGAAATTTTTTGACTAGTGCTAGTAGGTCCATATCGTCGACTGGTTGGGTGAAATCATCCCATGGGAAGATCACGACGAATTCAACTCAATCATTCACTTATAGTAACTTTATGGTGATGGGAAACGATGGGGATTTGCAGATTGTGAATCAGATAATCGATTTCAATGACAGTGTCAATACAAACATGCGATCTTCTTCTAGTCAGTCAATGGAATCATTTAAACGGTTTCCCCTTTATGTGTACTCTGATTATGTGGATCAAGGAGATGGAACTTATAGTGATGTGACGAATCTGACATTGGGTTTTAATGAGAAGAGGGTTAAGGCTGATGGTTTTGGATTCTTGGTTAGTTCTCTAAAAAATTTGCAGAATGCGCAGGGTGTCATGCTTGTAATAGGGAGCTCAGTGGTCAGTGGTATAGGGAGTACACAGCAAGCATACCAATATGATGGTAGTAAATTCTGCTATTTTAGAAATGTGACCAGCAAGAATTACACTATTCTTTATGATAAAGTGGGCAATACTTGCAGCAAAAAATATCAGCCTCGTGAGGGTTTTGGGCTTGCCAAATGGTGGCCTTTTCCTGCTCAGAGGGCCTTTCAGTGAGTAATGTCATATAAGAAAATGGCGTTGGATCATTCAGTTGGTTGATTCTTCAATTGCTTCACAAAGGACATCTCGTATTAGTGTTCTGGAGAATTTTGAAGAGTTGGTAGAGTGATCTTCAACTATCGTGAATGTGAATCATGTTTTTTCATGTTGTTGTAAATTTCTAGTTATTTGCATATAGATGCCCTTTGTTATCCTTCAAGTGGGCAGTGAATTCTTTTCCTTTCTTCGTCTCCACGTTCATCTTCACATTAAATTGTAAATCATGTACTACTTCCTGGCTGAAACTGACTTTTGGAAAATAGGGTATTGATACCAGTGCCATTTGTTCCATTATTCTCATCCTCCCCTTTTTTTTTGTTTTTGTTGTTGTTGTTGTTGCTGTTTTGACTACTAAGCATGGTGAAGCAGCTAAAAGTTCTGCATCTCTTGAGGTTTTTGCAATCAGACGTAGTTTTCATATATTCTAAAGTCATACATTTTATTCTGTGATCCAAAATGATATGATATTAAAAATCTGCTATGTATAATGGAGTTCCGATCTCTAAAAAGCTTGGATGTGTGATCTTCTGAGGTTTTCCTAGGTGCTCAATTCGTAATTGTTTTTATTCAGCAGATTTGTTAATATATGTAAGAACTTGAATCCATTGTTTGGGCTCATAGTAAAATAAAAGTTGTTCCTGCTATTCAAGCTAGAGCTTTGAGCATTGTGCAAGGATGCGGTGCAAGAGTAATTCATTTCCTTCTGGAATTGCCATAACTTGGTGTTCTTAGCGAGTATTGTTGCAAATGGATGCAGAAGTGGCTGCAGGAGGGGGGTTGAATGTAATAAATGCAAATGATCAGAAAACCCAAGTTTTGTTGGATTCAAGGCGGTTCAATGCACCTGGATTTTCTGCAATTCTTCACCACTTCTCTCTCTCTCTCTCTCTCTCTCTCTCTCTCTCTCTCTCTCTCTTTTTAAATTTTATATTATTATTTTTTGCTATGGTTGATTTGGTTGAATTACTGCAATTCATGGCTGGGTTTGAGGAATATATTGAAGGGAAGGAATGACTGTAAAAGATTTAAAAATTGCCACTAATTGAGCAGTGAAATGAAATTTCAACATATAAGAGCCCATCAAAGTTACTCCCAGTGCCTAACCATAAAAAGGGTAGATATAAGCTTTTCTAAATTTATAGAATTTTATCACAAAATTAGAGACAATTATCTCATATTTGATGACCCAAGTTATAGGCTTGTATTCAATTGTTATCAGACTTTGTGCACTTAGAATTTTCCTAATAATAGATATACATATCATTGGATATTTTTAACAAATTCTTCACCACCCCACTTTTCTTTTCTTTTCTTTCTTTCTTTTATTTATTTATTTATTATTATTATTATTATTATTATTATTACTAGCATAATTACCCACATTATGTACGGGTATAAATAAATAATCAAAAATTAAATTTTAAAATTAAACAATAATTTTAAAATTTTATCTACAATATTTAGCAAAAATGGTTTAGAATCAATTAAATTTTATTTATTTTTATCACAGTTACATATAAGAGAATTTTATTTTTATTCTTATGCCATTAATTGTGTGCTCTAAATTCTTAATAACAAATATATGTCATAATTTAAGTGGTAAAAATTAAAAAGTAAATCACAAAAATTATATTTATGATAAAATATAAATACATTTTGTCTTATGAGTTTCGTAAATTTAATTTATCATATGGTAGTAGTAAATTACATTTGTCAATATAGTAATTTTTTCATATTTTGTGAAGTCTAAAAATTATAATTTGTCTTATGTTATAAGTTTTACGTAAAAATAAATTAAGATGCACTTGTGATATTAAATTTGGATTGAACATTAGATTTACGCCAATTTATCCTTCACCTAATCTTTAAAAATTCTCTTGTTCTGTTCCCGACTTATATGAATCATTTGATCTATCTATTTATTAAATTAGTAAATAAATATTTATAAATATTTTTTTATAATAAAAATAAGAAATATGGACTTATTTTCTGCATACTCATTAAAAAGTTTGAACTATAGTTTAAAAAAAAAAACTATATATTTCTGTTTAAAACAATTAAATGAATAGTTATATATATTTATGTATAAAAAAATTATTTAAGATAAAGCCACCCTAAATTGTAAGTCATATTCTAGTTCAAATAAATTTGAATTTTATATTTAAATTATATCACAGTTCATTAGTTTGTGACTGATATGAGCTAATTTGGGGGTTCTAATATTGGATTTGTGGGGACATAATTTTTGAATGACAGCACGCGGCCGAGGTGGCACCGAAGTGTCAGCTGAAGTGCCACGTGTCCTGGTCACGACGCCGAGGTAATCTCGGATAGGCCGAGGTTATCTGCGAGAATACCGGAATCCAGGATAAGCGGATAAGGAACAAGAGTCCTAGATTGGGAGAAGACTTCAGTTTGGATAAAGATAAGACTCTTAGAGAGTTTATCCCAATTCTGCTGGGAGTCCAAGATTAGCAGCAATCTAGAATCCATTGGAGCTAGGCTTCTATTGGGACTAGATTTGTGTTGGCTATAAAAGAGAGGCACCCTCATGGGTCTAAGGTACGCTTTTTATATTATGAATAGTGAGTTAAGCTCTTTTACTATCTTTGAGAGATAACTGACTTGATCATCGGAGTGCCTCCGGGTGGACGAACCACCGCCGGAATCTTTTCTTTTTGTGACAGGTCGTTCGGGCTTGATCTATTCTGCCGGTGCTCTCCAGCTAAGTACTAGTTTGGCAGTGTCGTCTGAAATCTACTCACACAATTTGGCGCCGTCTGTGGGAAAGAAAGGAGAATCGATGGCCAATAATGGACAGAAATAGAAGATTGGGGACGACACTCCTACCAGGAGTGGGAAACCTATTGACCTTGACGTCGAAGAAGACAACTACAACAAAGAGACTTGTGATAAGAATCACGGAGAGAAGGATGTCGGCTAGGATGGCGACGTACCAAAGAAATCAGACCGAGACGGGTATTATAACGAAGACGACCTCTAGGTATGGAAAGATATATGCCTACAAAGGGACGACGAAATGAAGGAACTGGCCAACAAATTGGCGGACCTACAATCGATCGTCAATTTCATGATGCAGAACAACGTTATGTAACCACTGTTTCCGTTACAAGATACGCCAATTCCAACGGCCAAAAAAGATGCCTAGACAGGGGGGCAGAGGACAATTCCTGTGACTCCTCAGCACGATAGAACCAAGAAAGATTCTCACCGGCCTTCAAGGAGGTCGGGCGAGGAGAATCAAGAAGGGGAGATTCACGGAGGACGCATCAGACCAAGGAAGCCGATCCCAAAGAACATCGGCATGTTTAGGGGAAGGAGTTGTGTTTCGACGCAACTAATAAAGAGAGGTCCAAAAGGACTCACAATGATACTGGGAATAGCACACCAAAAAGGCTAAAATCCGTTGGTAGCCGAGCTCCTAGACGGACCAAGGAGGATCTGAGGGGTTACTTCCAGAGGAAATAACAACATGTCGAGGTAACCTCTCCGGTCAAGCCGAGAACACCGTTCTCGGTGGAGTTAGAAAAATTTGAGGCCCCAAAAAGGTTCAATATGCCGAGATTACAGATATATGACGGTAAGTCAGACCCTAACTTTCACGTCGGCTTGTACCTGAACTTGATGGCATTGTACACTGGGAACGAACCGTTGCTCTGCAAGGTGTTCCCCTCATCCTTCGGGGAAATTACATCAGATTGGTTTCACAAATTGCTGAAAGGAACTGTGAAAACCTGCGAAGGCCTGGCCGAGATGTTTGTGGCCAGGTTCGTGACAAACAAACTACAGCCATTAAGGGTGGACGCCTTGATGGCTCTGAGAATTGGCGAGGACGAAAGCTTGAGAGCCTATGCCAAAAGATATTACGAGATATTTAACCGAATACCAGGATGCAACCAGGAGGTGGCGGTTGTATCTTTTAAGAACGGCCTGAAGGATGACTGTTTGTTTTGAAAGTCATTGGCAAAGACATTGCCAAAAAGTATGGAGGAACTTATGGCCAGGAAAGAAAAATATGCCAGGGCCGAGGAGGACACGTCGGGGACAAAGGCGTCAAAACAAGAGAAGAAAAATAGCTTGCCGAAGCGAGACCGAGGTAATGGAGGATACAACAAGCAAGAGATAGGACTGAGGGCACACAAGCAGTCACTACCTTATTCCGGATTCCGATCTACAAAGTTTTAGAGAGGATCAGAAACTAACCGTATTATAGGGCACCAGAGAAGGTTCCCGGCGAGTTTATGGGACGAAACCTGGGAAAGCACTTCGCCTACCATAATGAGAATGAGTATCTGACTCAGGGGTGCAGAGCCCTAAAGACACATCTAGAAGACCTGGTAAGACAAGGTCATCTAAGGGACCTAGTAGACGAGACCAGGACAAGAGAAGATCAAGCAAGACTGCCTCATGCACCAGCAGCAGCACCACCCCCAGCATCGCAACCGCAGGGAGGCGGATCTCGAGTGATCAATGTGATTCACTCGAAGGTCAATGAGAACGAAATCCATAGAGAGACCCAGAGGGTAAAACACTTGCAGCATGTGTACCAGGTCCGCCAGAAAAGACCTAGGGCAGACGAGTGCTAGGAACCGGTGGTATCCTTTATAGAAGATGATCTAGGATGGTACAACATCCACACAACGATGCCTTGGTAGTATCCCTCCAGATTGGAGAGTTCCAAGTGAAGCACATCTTAATCGACCAGGGTAGCTCTTGTGACATCATGTATGTCAGATGTTACAAGGAGCTTGGCCTTCATCAAAACGATCTGGAACAATCCAATGGTCCTATGGTCGGGTTCAATGGAACACCGACGTGGCCCTTGGGAGCAGTAAGTTTGGAGGTGCAGGCTGGCACCAAGAAGATTAAAACTAAGTTCACTGTAATCGATACTCCCTCACCTTACAATGCTATCCTGGGAAGGCCATGGCTGCATACAATGAGGGCTGTTCCCTCAACATTGCACCAGCTGTTGCGGTTCCTAACAGAGCATGGAATTGAGGAGGTCACGGGAGATCAACTGTAGGCAAAGAATTGCTCCATGGCAGCAATGAAATCTACCTACAACATACGGGAAGCAGAAACAGTAAAGATCGAAGACGAGGACGTGAAAGTCCTGGATGACGTCGGCAAAGAGCTAGTCGAGAAGAGTGAGGAAGCCTTGAAGAAAATCCTTGTCCAGCAAGGGGATGAAGAACGTTTTTTCCTTCTTGGCTCGGGCTTGGCCGAGGAAGAGGAAAAAGAGCTAGAGGCATTCCTTCTAGAGGTGTTTA